TAGGTGTAAGGTTAGGTTGTGTATTTGAGCCAGTTCTTCTTTCTTTAGGAAGGCCCAGATTGCTATATACTTCCCTCTTATGACCACCTTTGCTGTGTCCCAGAGGTTTTGGACTGTTGTGTTAGCATTTTCATTGACTTCCATGTACTTTTTAATTTCTTCTTGGAAACTAATTTGACAATAAACTATTTGTAAAAAAAATAAAAAATAAATAAATAAATAAAAAATAATTTCCTCTTTAATTTCTTGGTTAGCCCATTCATTCTTTAATGATGTTCTTTAATCTCCAAGAATTAGTGGTCTTTCCAAATTTTTTCTTGTTGTTGACTTTAAGTTTCATAGTGTTGTGGTCTGAAAATATGCATGGTTTGATAACAAACTTTTTGTACTTATTGAAGGCTGATTTCTGACTCAGTTTGTGATCTGTTCTGGAGAATGTTCCTTGTGCACTCAAGAGGAATGTGTATCCTGCTGCTTTAGGATAGAATGTTCTGAATATATCTGTTAAGGCCATCTGGACCAGTGTGTCATTCAATGACATTGTTTCCTTATTGATTTTCTGCTTAGATGATCTGTCCGTTGCTATATAAGTGGGGTGTTGAAGTCCCCAATATTATGGTATTATTATCAAAGAGTTTCTTTATGTTTGTGATTAATTGATTTATATATTTGGGTTCTTCCAAGTTGGAGGTATAAAAATTTACAGTTGTTAAATATTCTTGGTGGATAAACCCCATAATTATGATGTAATGCCCTTCTTCTATTGTTACAGTCTTTGTTTTAATATCTAGTTTGTCTAAGTATGGCTACTCTGCTTTCTTTTGACATCCATTAGCATAATAGATACTTCTGCATCCCCTTACTTTCAATCTGCAGGTGTCTTTAGATCTAAAATGAGTCTCTTGTAGGCAGTGTATAGATGGGTCTTGTTTTCTTATCCATTCTGGTGTCTTTTGATTGGAGCATTTAGTCCATTTACCTTTGGAGTGATTATTGAAAGATAGGAATTTAGTGCCACTGTGTTGCTGGTACAGTTGGTGTTTCTGGTGATGTTCTTGGTCCCTTCTAGTCTTTGTTGCTTTGGGTCTGTTATGTTTTATTTTGTTTTTTCTCCACTGAAAGAGTTCCCCTTAAAATTTCTTGCAAGGCTGGTTTAGTGGTCAAAAACTCCTTTCGTTTTTGTCTGGGAAACTCTTTATCTCTCCTTCTATTTTGAATGACAGCCATGCTGGATAAAGAATTCTTACGCATATTTTTCCAATTGAGGATATATTCCTGTTGAACATATCCTGCCACTTCCTTCTTGCCTGCCACGTTTCTGTGGACAAGACTTTCTTTTCATTATGTTTGCATGGTGTCTTTTTTGTTACTTTTACTTATAATTCATTTTACTTTTCTTTTTACTTAATTTGTTCCTTTTACTTATAATTTATATGTGTCTTTAATGTGAATTTTCTTGTAGACATCATATATTTGGGTCTGGATTTTATATCATATCTGTTCATTTCTGCCTTTAATTGTAATGATTAGACTACTTATGTCTGACATTAAGTGTATTGTGGCTATCTGCTAACTATTTTTGCAATTTTTTTTTCATTTTTCTGCTTTTGCTGCTTTTTTGGAATAGTTGTACATTTTGAATGATTTCATCACATCTAAATTAGTGGTTTGTTAGCTGTGCCTCTCTTCTGTGGATATGTGGTTGCTTTAGCACTTACAGCATACATTTTTAACTTACCACAGTTTACTTCAAATAACTTACTCACTTCATTTATGAGAATTTTAGAGTTTTACATTTTTTACCTTCCACATTTTATGCTATTGTAATTGTATATTTTACATATACATACATATGTATAACATATATGTTATAAACCTTACAGTGTGTTGTTATTTCAGAAGATAATTTACCATTCTTTAAAAAAAGAGTTCTGAAAATGAGAAAAGTATATTTTATATATCATCACATTTCCAGGTTATGGTGCTCTGCATTTCTGTGTATAAATCCGGATTTCTACCTGATAGCATTTTTCTTCAGGCTGAGCATTTTCTTTTAACTTCTCCTGTAATATATGTCAGTTGGTAATAAATTAAGCTTTTATCTGAAAATGTCTTATGTTTGCTAAATATGGAATTAAAGGTTGACTTTTTTCCTTTAGTACTTTAAAATTGTCACTTCATTGCCTTCTGGCTATATAATTTCTGACAAGAAGTTGGCATTCATTTTTATTTTTGTTCCTCTATACATATTATACCTTTCCCTGTCTACTTAAGATTTTCTTTTCACAGACTGAAATATATGCAATAACATGGATGGAACCTAGAGGGTATAATATTAAGTGAAATAAGTCAGAGAAAGACAAATACCATATGATTTCATTCCTTTTGAAACTTAAGAAACAAAACAAATGAACAAACAAAAAAAGGACCAAACAAAAAGAGCAGACTCCTACATACAGAGAACAAACGTAGTTGCCAGAGGGGAGGTCGGTAGGGGGATGGATGAAATTGATAAAGGGGATCCATAGTAAATTTATCTTGTTGAGCACTGAGTAATGTATAGAATTGGTGAAACATTATATTGTACATGTGAAATTAATATAACACTATGTTAATTATATTTAAAAAACAGATTTTCTGTTTATCAGCAATTTTTAGTAGTTTAATTATAGTGTATCTTGATGTGGGCTTCTTCATCTTTCTCCTCCTTAATTCATTTAGCTTTTTGGATCTAAGGGTTTGTACACATTATCAAAATTTGAATATCTGCCCATTATTTCATCAAATGTTTTTTATCTTTCTTTTTTTCTTCTGAAATGTTTATTGCACCTGTGTTAAACTACTTGATATCACACAGGTCACAGATTACTAATTCTGTTTATTATTTTCCAGTCTTTATTCACTGTGGATTTCTTCTTTCATAGGTTTTTGTTGTTGTTGTTGTTTGTTTTTTTGGGTTTTTTTTGTTTGGTTGGGTTTTTGTTTGTTTGTTTGTTTTTGCTATGCCTTAAAGTATCCATTATGTTACTTATTGTTCCTTATGTGGTATCTGTCCTCTTCTTAATCCCATTTAGTGTTTTCTTGTTTGTTGTTTGGTTAGTTGGCTTTCTCATTTCAGATATTTTTTATATTTAGGATTTTAGTTTGGAAATGTTTAAGTTTCCTTTTGTTCTCATCATATTTGTTTTTCTTTCTCTTCTTGAACATATGGTATATATTTGCAGTTTTAAATGGCCTTGATTATTTTATCATGTGTCATTTCTTACACTGTTGCTACTGATTGATGTTCTCCTCAATAAGAATTGTATATCCTTACTTCTATTCATAACTTGTAATTTCTTATTGGGTTCTGGGTATTGTGAATTTTATATTGTTAGCTGCTAGTTTTGTTGTATTATTTTAAATCTTCTGAGGCATTTTCTGGTGTGTAGTTGTTACTTGGAATAAATTTAATCATTTCAAGTCAAGCTTTGTTGCATTAGATTCAGAGCTCACTTTAGGATTCATTGGCTCTTCATTTAAGCAACAGACAATTTTCTGGTATTCTTCCCAATTGGCTGTGAAGTAGATTTTTCTTCCCTGCCTGGTGGCAGCAGAAACTTCCTACATTTGTGTATGCTTTGATGATTTTTTTTAGCCTACTCTCTTTCACTGCTCTTTCCCCAACCCTGAGTATTTGTCTTGTATACTTGCACAAGTTAGGAGACTTGAGACTCTTCTGCAAATCTCTAAGACTGTATATCAGTACAGCTTTTTCTTTTCTGCTATTTCATCCTTAACAATTCTAGTTGTCATGGATTCCTTAAAATTCAGTTATGTCACTTCAACTTACTGAGTCAGCCAGGCTTTTTTGGTTCTTTTTGTTCTGTGAGATAGAAACTCTTCTGGGTAGTAAGCTGTGTGACAAGGGAAATTTTCAACTTTTAATATTTGTGGGCCCTGCTCCTGGGCTCTCAGGGAAGCTATGCATTAACATTTACCATGGTAAAAGTGACTTGGCAGAACCTCAAAGCATGGGTTCTATATCTGCCTCAAGCATACATTGTACATCTGCTTCGAGTAAAAACAAACAAATTTCAAACATAAAGATAAGAAAAACAAAACAAAACAAAAAACTCTCCCTGGTTCCCATAAGATTAAAGTCATACAGCCTTGCACATAATAAAAACATAAGACAAAGTCTTGTAGGTTTCTGAAATGTCCTTCCTCTTGACGATTTGTGGCTTTTTTTGTAAAGAACATATATAACCCTGCACCAACCCTGGAGCACTCTCTTCCTTGTGAAGATTGTGTATCATTAGCAGTTGTCCTAACCTGGGCTCAAATACAATTCTTCCTTCCTCTTAAAAAATTTTTTTATAACGTTATATTTTATTTTTGAGAGAGAGTGCAAGCGAGGGAGGGGCAGCGAGAAGGGGACAGAGGATCTGAAGCAGGCTCCACACTGACAGCAGAGATCCCAGTGTGGGGCTCAAACTCACGAACTGTGAGATCATCACCTGAGCCAAAGCTGGATGCTCAACTGACTGAGCCACCCAGGTGTCCCTCTTTAAAAATTTTTAAAATGTTTGTTCATTTTGCATTGACATGTGATAATTATAGGACTCACCTCATTTGTTTTCCTCTTGTCAAGTATTCCACCAGACTGACTGGTATCTGAAGTCTAAAAACCATTTTATATAGTTTGTATGCTTTCTTAGATTCACTATGGAAGGGCAAATCAGCTCCTTACTCTGTTGCAGTAAGTTTGATAAGTGCTTCTAAAACCTCATTTGAAACGTGGACATTGGCCATTTTAGAATTTAACATAGGCTCATGATTCAGGATTTTTAGATTGATTCTTGATGAGCCTTAAAAATGTTTTTTGTTATCACTTACCCCTCACAAAAATTGTTGTGAACACCCTGAATGTGCCACTTTTGAAACTATACCTCCTTCACATTCTGAAACAGTGGAACCTGTGCAGCTAACTCAAGTGCTAAATTTTTTCCCATTTACAGGGTACTGTTTTACAAAACCAGAACTGATCTTCACATTGGAGCAAGGAGAAGATCCATGGTTATTAAAGAAAGAATTTCTAAGAAAAAGCTCCCCAGGTGAGTTATTGAATACTGGCAGAAGGCATCCAAGAAAATTAGATCTAAAGCGATGAGCTAGAAGTAAGCAGTTTGAAATGTTTTTCAGTACTGTTCTTTTACAGACTTTTACATTTGAAATTATTTAATAAAATAGATCTAATAAAATGTGGAAGGGGTCACCTAACACAAGGAATGGATTGTAAGAATGTTGATATTCTCATCTATAAAAGATGAGAGCTAAGTATCCCATTTAAAGCTGAAAAGCAATGAATTCTGTATACTTAACAGTAAAAAGATAAAAACTAAATTTAATAAAACAACTAAACTTAAGAGTCAGCAGATCAGAAAAGAGAAAGGAATGATAATTATTTTTTTAATGTTTGTTTATTTTGAGAGAGAGAGACAGAGACAGAGTGTGAGCAGGGGAGGGGCAGAGAGAGGGTGACATCACAGAGCCCAATAGGGGGCTCGAATCACGGACCACAAGATCATGACCTATGGTGAAGCTGGGTGCTTAACTGACTGTGCCACCTTGGTGCCCCATAAATTTTTTCACTGTTTTTAATGTTTATTTATTTTTGAGAGAGAGAGAGAGAGAATGAGTAGGGGAAGGAGCAGAGAGGGAGGGAGACATAGAATCCAAAGCAGGCTTCAGGCTCTAAGCTGCAACATGGGGCTTGAACCCATGAATCATGAGATCATGACCTGAGTCAAAGTCATTTTACCAAACTGAGCCACCCAGGCGCCCTAGGAACCATAGTTTTATCATTATATAATAATGAATTACTAGAAGCCATCTAAACACATAGATTAAGAAATTATAATGTAATTGGAAAGGATAATTCCTGGAATAAAGTGCAGCCTTTCTAATTATTAGAAGTTAAACATGTTTGAGCAAGGATAGAAAAGTTTCTTACAAAGCTGTAGAGAGTCCCCAATAAAACTGTGTGTCAACTATACTTCCATTAAAAAAATAAATGAGTCCCCAGGACAACCACCATGTTCACTGATTCTCTTACTCAGCATATAGTCATACTCATAGCTGATATTTCTAAAGTAAAATAATTGGTATAAAGCAAAATTAGCAGAGAAAAGGGGCAAAGTCCAGAGGAAACCAGGTGCAGGCTTCCAACGCCCCAGCAATGAATGTGGCAGCACATGTGAAATGTTGTCTACCTGGAAAGTTCATTAGAGACTAGGTTCTTGGGAACCATTCCAAAATCTAAGTTCCCTGCCAGCCAAGGACTAATCTTGCAAGCACACCTTCTAAGATAACAATCTCAGGCCTGCTGTGTTAAATGTTCTGCACAAAAACTATGCAAATACACTATATAATATACAGTAAGGTAAACCTATCTGCCACATCAACTAATATGTAAATGAATTAAATTCATCTATTAAGATAACATGCTATCAGATTGTATCAGAGATATGCCTAAAAAATAATATACAAAGTTTGAAATATAGTCATGAATTGTTAAGCCAAAAATGTAAAATAAGCACATCAAAAACATAAGGAGGGTCGCCTGAGTGGCTCAGTCGGTTGAGCGTCCGACTTCGGCTCAGGTCATGATCTCATGGTTTGTGAGTTCTAGCCCCACGTTGGGCTCTGTGCTGACACCACCTGGAGCCTGTTTCCGATTCTGTGTCTCCCTCTATCTACCCCTCCCCCACTCATGATCTGTCTCTCTCTGTCTCAAAAATAAGCAAACACTAAAAAAATTTAAAAAAAGCAGATAAGGAAAAGGACAGTTTGATAAAGCTAAAAAAGACCGTTTTTAAAGGATATATGAAAGTTTTGAATATTAGTGCACCAAATAGATCATGAAGATTCATAAAAGAAGAAATGGCAAGAGTTATAAGGAGAAGTAGGTGTACATTAGATACAGTAGACTTTAATATGCCCGTCTGATTTCATACCAGACCCAGTGGACTGTAGAATACTGCTCAGGAAACTATCGTAGATCAGATCCTGCCTGTTGCTTTTTTTGGCAAAGAAACATTTATTATAACACAGCCAAATCCATTTGTTTATGTATTCACACCATAGAGTTGAGTAACATGGGTTTGAGCTGCACAGGTTCCCTTCTGTGTGGATTTTTTGTTCAATAAATACAGTACAGCACTATAAATCTATTTACCCTTTCTTATGATTTTCTTAACATTTTCTCTTCTGTAGCTAACTTTGTTATATGAATATACACTATATAAAAATGAATATAGGGTATAATAATGTGACATATAAAATGTGTTAATCGATTTTATGTTATTGGTGTGGCTTCTGGTCAACAGCAGGCTATTAATAGTTAAGTTTTTGGTGAGTCAAAAGTTGTAATGCAGATTTTCAACTATGTCAGAGGGTGGGGATGGGAGTTGGTGTCCCTAATCCCCATATTGTTCAAGAGTCAACTATAATTGCAACAGAGACTACATGACCAGCAAAGCCTGAAACATCCATTCTCTGGCCTTTTACAGAGAAAGTTTGCCGACCTCTGATCTAGAGTCTATTAAGTGTCTTTTAAAACTCTATTATGAAAACAAAAAATAAACCTGCTTTTAAATGACCTTGGGACATTGAGAAAATATACAAGTATTTTAAACATCAGTAAATTCCACAAAGTAGAGATACTATTGTTCAGTAACACTGTAAATTGCAAACAATATGAGAAAAGTTAAAATTTCTCTTAAAATCAGTGATGAATATATATTTTAAAATCCTATTTTATTGGGACACGTGGGTGGCTCAGTCAGTTAAGACATCTGACTCTTGATTTCTGCTCAGGTCAGGATCTCACACTTTATGAGTTGTAGCCCTGCATCAGGCTCTACACTGACAGTGTGGAACCTGCTTGAGATGCTTTCTCTGTCCTTCTGTCTCTGCCCCTTCCCTGCTCATGCTCCCTCTCTCAAAAATAAATGAATAAACTTAAAACCTCTTTCATCAAAAGGTAAATCAAAATTATACAATATTCAGAAAATTTTTTGGTGAAAACATGTTTATTACAAACTTTGGAGTGTAGATAAAGCAGTGCAGAATTTTTAGTCTCATATACTTTTTTTAAAAAATGTATTTCTAGGAGAGAGAGAGAGACAGCGTGAGCAGGGGAGGGTCAGAGAGAGAGGGAGATACAGACTCTGAAACAGGCTCCAGGCTCTGAGCTGGCAGTCAGCACAGAGCCCGACGCGGGGCTCGAACCCACGAACCGCGACATCATGACCTAAGCGAAAGTCAGGCTTAACCGACTAAGCCACCCTTGCGCCCCTAGTCTCATATACATTTGACCCTAGAACAACACAGGTTTGAACTTCACTGATCTATTTATACATAGATTTTTTTCCAATAAATATAGTACAGTACTATAGATGTATTTTCTCTTTTCTTAATAGCATTTTCTTTTTTTCTAGCTTACTTTATCATAAGAATGCAGAATGTAATATATGTAACTTACAAAATATGTTACTCAACTGTTTATCTTATTGGTAAGGCTTCTGGTCAACAGTAGACTGTTTTAGGGGAGTCGGAAATTATACACAGATATTCAACTGCAAGGGGGAGTCAACACCCCTCATTCCTGTGTTGCTCAAGGGTCAAGTGTATTTATGTTAACAAGTGAGAGAGTTGTAAATGAAAGCTTAAGTAAAGCAAAAGATGTAATAAAAACTATAATGGTATAAAATATAAAGCAAAAGGTAGTTCTTGGAATAAAAATAAATAACATAGCTAACCCTAGTCAGAAAAAGGAAAGAAAATACTATTACTCATTATAAGTTTTGGAACAGATTCCTACTTCTATAATATAACCTTGGAAAACTTTAGCCTATACTTTATCTCTTACTTTTGTAAACTTTTAACCCATTTGATGGATATGTCAAAAATAATGAGATATCTGTTGGGGCACCTGGGTGGCTTAGTTGGTTAAGCGTCCGACTTTCGCTTAGGTCATGATCTCGTGGTTCGTGGGTTCGAGCCCCGCGTCGGGCTCTGTGCTGACTGCCAGCTCAGAGCCTGGAGCCTGTTTCAGAGTCTGTGATTCCCTCTCTCTCTGACCCTCCCCTGCTCACGCTGTCTCTCTCTCTCCTAGAAATAAATAAAACATTTAAAAAAATTAAAAAAAAAATGAGTTATCTGTGCCAGATAGCATACTGTTACTGAATGAGCTTCTTTTCTCATCTGGATTATGATCCCCTCAAAAGAATCATCTGTTTTATTCTTGTTTACTCTGGTATATATCATATGATAAATACTTTTTAATAACACTGTGGATTGATTCCAAAGCAAGGTGGAGATAACTATTTCATATTGATTCATTCAGAAGACATTCATAAATGCAATGCAAAAAGGACTTTTGAATCTTCAGGTGTAGGTCAGCAATTGATCTGAGCCCTTATGTGTCCAGAGCTCTCTAGGTAATTCTGAGGCACACTGTTCTTTATGGACCACTGACTTTCCATTACAGAAGGATCCAAAGAATATCACAGTGAGGGTGTCATTTTGGAAAAGTGAACAAAACTGCATAAAATATATTTCATATCATATAGGGTGCTGTTGATTAAAAAATGATCCAGTATTATAAGTACAACCAAGAAAGAGAAAATGCTGCCTATTTAACTATGGACTTGCCATCACTTTTAAGATGCCTCCTGATTTGGGTAATTTACTTTAAAAACTATGGGTCACATGTATAGGAGGATTAGGAGGAGCTTAACAGAGGACCAAGGGGGAGAAGAAGGGGAGAAATGGTGGGGGAAAGGGAGAGAGGCAAACCATGAGAGACTCTTGAATGCTGACAAAAACTGAGAACTGATGGATGTAGGGGGGAGGGGGGATGNTAACAGAGGACCAAGGGGGAGAAGAAGAGGGGAAATGGTGGGGGAAAGGGAGAGAGGCAAACCATGAGAGACTCTTGAATTCTGACAAAAACTGAGAACTGATGGATGTAGGGGGGAGGGGGGATGGGCATAGAGGAGGGCACTCGTGGGGATGAGCACTGGGTGTTATGTGGAAACTAATTTGACAATAAACTATTTGTAAAAAAAAATAAATTAAAAAAAATAAAAACTATGGGTCACAATGGGTGCTCTCTATAGGTCCCATGTTAAAATGAATGATACAGGCAGAATGATACTTCTGTCAAATTTTAAAATAAATGTTACTTAAATATGTGACAAGATATTAGAAGCCTTTTTATTGTTAAGTTCGCGGAAGATAGTTTTGTTGTGCCTGAAGGGTGTCTAGATTCTATATAGTCCTAAGGCTAGGATGGACGGTAATTTAGAGAAAGAATTATAAATAAAAAATTATATGGAAATGAACCAGGTAATGGGGACTGATACCAAGATTCGTGCAGAAAATACTGTGGACTGGTGAAATGATAGCTAGAACACACAATGTTCATGCAGTTAGTGTGAAACTTTCTTTCCCTGAATCACTTAAATCTTTCATCTCTTGGTGCCTAGGGCACTATTTTTGAGGCCTTCACATATTTTTACCATAGGCCTGACATTTTTGCTAGAAGTGTGGGTAGAAACAGGAAGATAACAGTTAAATATGCACAAGAAACTTACAGTAAATAAATACAAAAGATACTTGTAGTTTTTTTTTTTAATGTTTTTTTTTTTTATTTATTTCTAGGAGAGAGAGAGAGAGAGACAGCGTGAGCAGGGGAGGGTCAGAGAGAGAGGGAGTCACAGGCTGAAACAGGCTCCAGGCTCTGAGCTGGCAGTCAGCACAGAGCCCGACGCGGGGCTCGAACCCACGAAACGCGAGATCATGACCTAAGCGAAAGTCGGACGCTTAACCGACTAAGCCACCCAGGCGCCCCAATACTTGTAGTTTTTAGGGCCAATTTGGAACATGATCCTTTAGGTTCTCACGGTCAGAAAAAAAAAAAAACACAACTAGATATGCTGAAAAACAGAATCAAGGATTGTGCAAGCAAGACTATTTTGGGGGAATTTATGAGCAAACTAAATGAAAAGAGGAAAATTAAAGTTTGATAGTCACTATTGAACAACCCTGATATAATACCAAGGTACTAGAACCAGGATAGAGCAGTGACTCCCAATATAGATGGAAAAATTTCTTAACTCCCATCATTTTTCCTTTTCTTACTTCTGCAGATACACTTAGTTTCTGTGAATGATATGCAGAGAGATTAAAAGCATGACAAGTATAATTATTTTTTTCACCATGAGGAATTTGGTGCCATTATAAATTAATTTTAGTGTTGTATAGACTGGAAAATATGGAGCTCTAACTGGAATCATATAGACTAATGATTATGCTATCATTGTAATCTGTATTTGACTAAGAACCTAGACTCTGGTCTTTTCCCTAATGCATATTCTTTTTTATCTCAGATAAATCCACTGAAAGCCTGTTAATGTATTTAATGGCATAATCTTTGTTGAGTTTATCCCATTCTCTTTTTCTGTTCTTTGCTGTTTCCAAGATCCAGCTCTCCTGAATATATTCTCCATTCTCAGTTTTTCCTTTCCTTTATATCATCTTCTTTAAACAATTTGAAAACTATGCTTTAAGATGCCAAATATATATGTATATTTATTTCTAATTTCTTCTCTTTTTCTACTACAAAAAAGAGAATATGCACTTGGAATTACTGTATTTTTGCGAAACTGAGCCAGAAACCAAGGAGTCAAATACATAATAGGGAATGTATCTTTAAGTCCCATTCCATAAGACGTGTGTTAACTATCATAAAGTATTTTTAATTTTCTCATTTTTAGAAGAATCCCAACCTAATCAACTCTCAGAGAAGACCCTAGAAAACCAAGGCAAATATCTGTGGCAAGTTTTATTCACCAACAAATCATTGACTACAGAGGAAAAGATTTCAGGAAAACCATATAATTCTGACATAAACTATTTACCTCCAAAAACAATGCCGTATAAACTTGACACTCCAGGACCTACTTACCTACATCTCAGCTCAGTGGCTCCGCATTGTCAATATTCAAGAAAGAAGGCTCATGAGCTTAATATATGTGAGAAATGGCTCCTCGGTATTAAAGAGGGAAGAACTAATACTGGAGAGAAATCATTTGTTTATAGTAAAAACATGAAAGCCTTAAGTCATAAAGAGAAAGTTATTCATCATCAGACAATTCAGACTTTGCAGCAAACTTCTGAATACAATGAATGTGGAAAAGCTTTCCTTGAAAAGACTGCCCTCATTACATCTAACAGTACCCACCCAAAAGTGAAATCTTATAAATTTAATAAATTTGGGGGAAAACAATGTGAAAGTTCAAACTTTATGGTCTCCCATAGCAGTAACCTAGAGAAGAGCCTTTATGAGTTTAATGAATATGAATGTACTGAAAACAGAAATAATTTCAGTAGAGTCACTCAAAGAACTGACAAAGAAGGGAAATCTTTCAGCCAAAAATCACAAATTAGAGAACATCAGAAAATTCCCAAAGGAGTGAAACCCTTTGAATATGGAAAGAATTTCAACCATAATTCAGCCCTCCCAGTGCATCAGAGAACTCATACAACAGATAGATCCTCTGATTATGACACATGTACAGAGACATTAGTTTGCCAGTCAACTTTCAACATACATCAGAGAACTCCTACAACAGAGAAACCATATGAATGTAATGAATGTGGAAAATCCTGTTCTGTGAATTCATTTTTGATTCAGTCTCTAGCAAGTCACACAGGGGAGAAACCCTATGAATGTCATGCATGTGGGAAAGCTTTCAGTGAGAAGTCACGCCTAAGAAAACATCAAAGAACTCACACAGGAGAGAAACCATATAAATGTGATGGTTGTGAAAAGGCTTTCAGTGCAAAGTCAGGCCTAAGAATACATCAGAGAACTCACACAGGGGAGAAACCCTATGAATGTAATGAATGTGGGAAATGTTTCAACTATAAGTCAATCCTCATAGTACATCAGAGAACTCACACAGGGGAGAAACCTTTTGAATGTAATGAATGTGGAAAATCTTTCAGCCACATGTCAGGCCTAAGGAATCATCGGAGAACTCACACAGGGGAAAGACCATATAAATGTGATGAATGTGGGAAGGCTTTCAAACTGAAGTCAGGTCTAAGAAAACATCATAGAACTCACACAGGAGAGAAGCCCTATAAATGCAGTCAATGTGGGAAAGCTTTCGGTCAGAAATCACAACTCAGAGGACATCATAGAATTCATACAGGGGAGAAACCCTATAAATGCAATCATTGTGGGGAAGCTTTCAGCCAGAAATCAAACCTCAGAGTGCATCACAGAACTCACACTGGGGAGAAACCCTATAAATGTGATGAGTGTGGAAAAACTTTCAGGCAGAAATCAAATCTCAGAGGACATCAGAGAACTCACACAGGGGAGAAACCCTATGAATGTAATGAATGTGGGAAATGTTTCAACTATAAGTCAATCCTCATAGTACATCAGAGAACTCACACAGGGGAGAAACCTTTTGAATGTAATGAATGTGGAAAATCTTTCAGCCACATGTCAGGCCTAAGGAATCATCGGAGAACTCACACAGGGGAAAGACCATATAAATGTGATGAATGTGGGAAGGCTTTCAAACTGAAGTCAGGTCTAAGAAAACATCATAGAACTCACACAGGAGAGAAGCCCTATAAATGCAGTCAATGTGGGAAAGCTTTCGGTCAGAAATCACAACTCAGAGGACATCATAGAATTCATACAGGGGAGAAACCCTATAAATGCAATCATTGTGGGGAAGCTTTCAGCCAGAAATCAAACCTCAGAGTGCATCACAGAACTCACACTGGGGAGAAACCCTATAAATGTGATGAGTGTGGAAAAACTTTCAGGCAGAAATCAAATCTCAGAGGACATCAGAGAACTCACACAGGGGAGAAACCCTATGAATGTAATGAATGTGGAAAAGCTTTCAGTGAGAAGTCAGTCCTAAGAAAACATCAGAGAACTCACACAGGAGAGAAACCCTATAATTGTAATCACTGTGGAGAAGCTTTCAGCCAGAAGTCAAACCTCAGAGTACATCAGAGAACTCACACAGGGGAGAAACCCTATAAATGTGATAAATGTGGGAAAACTTTCAGCCAGAAATCAAGCCTTAGAGAACATCAGAAAGCCCACACAGGGAGTTAAACATATGAACGTAAAGAATATGGGAAAACTTCAAGCCAGAAATCAAATCTCACAATACAAGAGAGAATCCTGTGAATACAGTAAACACTTGCAAGTTCCTCTGTAAGATACCAACCTTCACAAACACCAGAGAACTAAACACAGGACAGAAATTCTTGGAGTATATTTTCTATGCGCAGTCTTTCGTCCACAGTACAGTCCTCATTATGGATCAGAGAACAGAGCCAGCAAAGAAAATGCAAAGATAATGAATGTGAAAAATACTCTGTACTCAATCCTCAGAAAAATCACACTTCAGAAAAGCTCTGGGAATGTAATAAAAATGTGAAAACTTTGTATCAGTAATCAAAACTTCCTCATCATTAGAGAAGTGATACAATGAGAAACCCAAGAATGTAGTAAGTGTTGGGTAACCTTTAGCCAAGTCAGCTTTCTTGGTACAACAGAAAATACATAGAGGCTAGAGATCTAATCAGCACAGCAAAAAATGATGTGGGGAATCCTATTATAAATCAGCCTTCAATTTGACTTACACAGAAGTAATCCCCACATCCTGTAATGACTATTAATTGTTCACACACACACAGAGAAAACATTTCCTCTCTCCCTCATGCCACACCTAGTCTAAATTTCTCAACTAGTGTCATCCAGATGGGGTCATATTAGTAACCTGTGGCTAGTGGAATATGGGGGTCATAGACAAGTCTCATTGAATACATCCCTCAAATTTTCAATATTTTCTCCTGTCCCCTATCAGAATGGAGTGGAGATTGCCCTCAATGAAACCATGGGGCTCATACACTGAAGATGGGAGAAGGAAACAGGGTAAAGAGTGACTGGAATGGAGTTTTCTCCTCCATGTACACAGACTTTTTGCGGCAAGGAAATAAATTTGTGCTCTGCTGAGCTACAGGTTTGGGTATACTTAATACTAACATATATTCACCAACCTTCGATTAATAAAGCCTATGGATATGATTTCTGTGGATATCTGAACTCAACATGTTTCAGAAACCTGACAACATCCTGAATGATCATAATTTTTATCTACAACTCTTCATCAGTCAGGTAAATATCAGTGGAAGAAATCTAACATTTCAACGTATATAGGAAATCCTTTACCAAAAAATGGTTTCTCATTAAATATCTGATAATTGAATTGTAAATATATGAAAGTTTTCAACAAGTCATCAAACTTTAATCTCTCTCAGAATGTGTTACAAGGGGAATATCTATCAATTTGTGAAAGGTAAGTAATAGTGTTTACTTAGACATTGTTCTATGAGACTGTTATCTCATATGTATTATTAAGACATTACTGAAACATAAGTGTTGATACACATTCAGAAGAATAATAAGCTTTTAAAGAATAAGAAATAAATTGCATAAACTGAACAGCATTGAATGTATGTGAATATTTTCTGAGTTCTCTATTCTTTGTCTGTGTGGGTTTGTCTACGTGCATGCCACTTACCAACCAGGTATTAGTTAATATGTGTACTGGAACTCTACATCATTGTAGTAGAATTATGTACCCCTTGCTCACTAACTATTCTGACATCAGCTACATTTTGCCACGTATAGATTAATAACAAATAAACCTTTTACGGGAAGTATCTGAAAAGTCAGAATCCCATACTACGTGCATATAGGAAAGGCCATTGTTACTAAGCAGTCTCTTTTCAAAGAAGCCAAACAGTGTTTTCTGTGTACTTTTGTATTGTTTCAGGGTCGCCAATACATTTAAAACATACATCTAAGCATTCACACACGTGCGCGCGCACACACATCTTCATTGTCACTGATTGTTTTCTCAGAAATGTTAAGTATACTGAGGAGCCCTTGAAGGCATTCTTTACTTATGATACTATGTTTTTTATTTTTAGCACTTAAATTTTATTAAACTTTCTGCTAAAATCACCCATCTGATCTTGAATGTTGTCTAGCTTTTCTATTAGAGTCGTTCTGTATGGCATTTAGCATTCTCTGGCCCGGTTGAGCAACTGCTTGAGCCCTTGCTTCCTTCTCCCTGCAGGCACCTAGCTCTTCAGACTCTGGGTTAGTTTTTTTGCCCTGAAATCTCAGATGTCTGATGCTTTCAAGAAAACTTGTTAATTTAAATTCTGCCTCGCTGTTTTCTTGTTTTATGGATGGAAGGAGTGCTCTTTCCTGCTCTCTACTTATCTGAGCTAAAACTGAAAGTTGTCAGTGGACTTTTGATAAATGTTCCAGCACAATTTGATGGGAAAAGGATAACTGTTTTCAAAAATGGTGAGAAATTACCTGGATATTCATGTATTTTAAATGTACCTTGGTGTCTACATTATAATAAAATACTTACTAAAAATGAAACATGGACCTAAACAAAGTAGCTAACTATAAAATTCATTAGAAAACAGAGAAAAAACAATTTTACTTTGAGACAGATTTTTAGGGTGTAACAAAAAGTATGAAACAGCAAAGCAAAAAAGAGAAGTTGGAGTTTATGAAAATTTAAAGGGCTTTTCAAGATTTTATTATGAAAATGGAAAAAACAGATTATGAGAAAATGTCTCAAATAGATCTGACAATTATATATGACAAAGGGCTTGCATCCATGATATGTAAAGAATATTAGTAATAAAAAAAGAATTTTTATAATGCAATAAAAATACAAACAACCTATATAAAATGGGCAAAACAGATTAAAACAGACACTTCACAAAAGAAGATATATATATAGCTAATAAATACTAGAAGATGTTCAAAGCTTCAGTAATCAAGAAAGTGCAAATTAAAATTATAATGTGATAGCATTGCAACTCCCTTTGATAGTTCCTTATAAAGTTAACCATATTACACCTACAACCAGCAGTTTTAGTTCTAGGTATTTGCCCCCAAAGAAACATAAAGAACTATACCAAAAATTCTTTTAATAGTTTTTTAAAGAATTTTATTAGCTGTTCATGGAACTTTTATGCATAATAGCCCCAAATTAGAACCAAAATGTCCATCAACAGATAAATGTATAAACAGTGATATTACCTTACAGTGGAATAGCACTCAGCAATACAAAGAACTAATGGATGTATCAACATTGATAAATCTCAATGAGATTAGACTGGGAAAAGGAGCCAAGCACAAGAACATAGAGCTCTATGATCCCAATTAATGAAATTCAAGAAAAGACATCTAATCTAGAGTGATAGGAAGCAGATCATTGGTTGCCTAGGAGTGGAAGGTAAGGATTCATTCCTTTGCCTAGAGGAACAAAGGAATGTTTTAGTATGATGGAATGTTCTATATTTAGATTGTGAAGGCATTTCCAAAGCTGAATAAATACTTGATAAGTTCATCAAAATGTACAAAAACTGCATATACTTTATATTCACAAATTACATGTCAGTATAGTTGATTTGAAAGATCATAGGGAACTTTGGATCCCCAGTATATTATGAGGCCCAGAGCCAAGTGGCTTATTGACTTTACTACTTGGGTATTTATTCCCCTCTTCCCTTCCCTGTTTGGCTTTGTGACCTTGGGCAAGTCAGTTCTCCTTTATGTTCTTCATTTTCCTCATTTCTTATGGGTGCATGATGATAGTAATTACCTACAATCCATTTTCAAAGCATTCTCTGAGTTAATCTATGTCGATTACAGATTTACCAAAGAAAGGAGTGCTTGAGTGATGCTTCTAACAGTCAACTGCACTAGTAATTTGTTTTTATATTCTGTGTTTTAGTGGAAAAAATGCATACAAGTTTTCAAAGTAAGTGTGGTGTAGTTGCTCTTTGGCATATTTTCCCAATGTTTTTATATTATTTGGCTATGAATCCCCCCTGCCTCCTACTACTGTTTTATTGTATCCTATGATTTTGGTGAATTGTCTTTTCCTTTTCATTGTAAGTATCTTCTAATATCCCTTGTGATTTCTTCTTTGGTCTGTTGTTCATTTAAGAGAATGTTGTCTAATTTCCACAAAGTTGACTTTTTCAATTTTCCTTCTGTTACTGATTTCTTACTTTATTCTGCTCTGGTCATAGAAGAGCTTTCGTATAACACCTTTCTTTTTTAAATCTATGGAGACTTAATTTTTATCCTAACATTTGGTCTCTCCTGAAGAATACCCCATGTGCACTTGGGACAAATGGGTATTCTGCTTAGTACAGTGTTCTATAATTGTTTGTTAGGTCTGGTTAGTTTATTTTGTTATATAAGTCCTCTGTTTCCTTATCTAATTTGTGTCTGGTTGTACTATCCATTATTGACAGATATTGAAATCTCCCTGTTATTGTAGAAATATATGTTCCTCCCTCAATTCTGCCTACTTTTGCTTCTTATATTTTATCTGTTATTATGTGTGTAATTGTTTGCAATTGTTAGATCTTCTTGCTCTATTAAAACCTTTCATTAATATATAATGTATTTTGTGCCAAACCTTTTTTTATTTAAAATCTATATTGTCTGATAGTATAGGTATCCCTGCTCTCTTTTGGTTACTGTTTGCATAGAATATATTTTCTATCCTTTCACTGTCAACTAATTTGTATCTTTGACTCTAAAGTCTCATGTAGATAGCATAGAGTTGGATCAAGGTTTTTTTTTTAAACCATTCTGCCAGTCTCTCACGATTAGAGAGTGTAATCTATTTACATTTAATTACCGAAAAAGAAGAATTACTTCTTTTTATTTGTATTCATTTTGCTGTATGTTGTCTATATGCCTTGTAGTATTTTTGTCCCTCATTTTCCACATTCATCTTTTTTGTTTTGTAGACTTTGTTTTAATGAAACATTTAAATTGCCTTTTCATTTCCTTTTGTGCATATTCAAGAGCTATTTCTTTGTAGTTACCACGGGGATTACATTTAACTTCCTAATGTTATTGCACTCTGTCAGCTTAACTTCAGTAATATACAAAAGCTCTTGCCTCTATATAGCTCCATCCCTAATCCCTTCCATTTATTGTCACAAAATTACATCATATATTGTGTCTCCAAAACCATTAATAAGGATTTTTTATACATTAGTCTCAAATCATGTAGAAAACAAAAAAGAGCTATTACCCAAAATTATAATACTACTTTTTATGCTTGTCTG